GCTCTGGAAATGGGAACTGACTCATGTTATGGAACTGGCTGAGGGGCCATAACTCTCATGTTGATTCAAGTCAGACTTATGTTCACCAGAACTAAAACTTTTCCACCTATTCAAATCAAGTAGGATATCAGCAGGCTTCCCATCTGTTTCACCATAATCAATGAGCAAATGCAAAAATCTCTGTATATCAAACCATTCTGATGATCCCTTTGGCTTTGCTGCTCATTATGACAAATATACTCACTTTATCTCTACCAATGAAGTGCCTCCACTTGACCTCTCACGCCCCAGGATCCCATCACCCTGAATTTTGATGCCATAATTCCTCTCTCATTCCTGACCTGCAGAGAAGAGTCACTACAGAGCTCTCCAAGATTGCCAATGCTCCCCTCATCAACAAATTTCTTAAATCTTTGGAAAAGGGAGTGTCCTCTAAACCCTCCCAGGGCACATGGGTTGGGAGAGCGGGTCTTACATGATAAATCCAGTCCAGCAGTCTGGCATGTCTGTCTTTGTATACCTTCTTCTACAGCAGTGGTTCTCAGTTGAGGACAATTCTGCACCCCCCCCCCACCCTGGAGGGACATTTGGCAGTGCCTTGAGACTTTTTTTTTTTTTCAGAAAGATTGGCCTTGTGCTAACATCTGTTGCCGATCTTGCTTTTTTTTTTCTCTCCCCAAAGCCCCAGTACATAGTTCCATATCATAGTTGTAGAATTGTAGCTCTTCTACATGGGACGCTGCCTCAGCGTGGCTTGATGAATGGTGAGTAGGTCCATGCCCAGGATCTGAACCAGCGAATCCCAGGCTGCCAAAGCAGAACATGTGAACTTTATCGCTACGCTACCGGGCTGGCCCCTTTGAGACATTTTTGATTGTTACAACTAGGTGGGAAGAGGATGTGCTACTGGCATCTAGTGGGTGGAGGCCAGAGAGGCTGCTAAACATCCTACAATACACAGGACAGCCTCCAAGAACAAAGAACTATCAAGTCCAAAATGTCAATTGTGCCAAGGTTGAGAAACTCTGTTCTACAACATACTTGGAAAGTTCTGGCATTTTGATTTTAGCATAAGCTAACTTTGGGTCCAGGTTTCAATCATTTGACTAAGCAAGCTGTTGAAGGCATTCCCAGGTGCTCAAGCTAATACACCCTTATCAACAAATCCAGCCTAATCCAATATTACATTACTTCCACCTGATTCAATACCCATATGATCCACAACCATATATACTTCTCAAGTTTCTATGATATAAATCCTTATCTTGGCAGGTATCTCCTCATGGTTATACTTTATATCTGATGGCTCCCCCCTCCACCTCTCTTCCCTGGCCTGTGAGGGCTTGAGTCTGATTAATAGGTCTAGAAAAATGAGAGGTGGTGGAGGCAAGTCTTGAGGATATACAGTCCCCTGCAAGGAAACTATCTCAGGGGAGATCATTACAGGTTCTTCAGGGGAGGGGAGATTAACTCAGAGAGGAGAGAAGGGCCTCCTCATGGCAAGGGAGGCTCAGCTAAATTTAGAGATCAAAGGCCTCAGCTTTGTTGGGATCTGCCCATATATTCCCACAATTTTTCAGGATTCTCTTCCTTCCCATTGATATCCTATGACATAAGAGAATCTACAAGGTTGTGAATCAATGTGTTGTCATTCAGCCATTGACTGAATTTGACCTTGGGTCCCCTTTCTTTAAAAAAATCAAAGAAATGCTGATTATATATAACAAGTCTCCCAAAGTGTTAATATGTAGCCAAGCTTAAAACTAAGATAGGAAAATCCCCTAGAAGCCAAAAACAGTTTGACTCTATGGTGTCAAGTGGGAGTTGAAAGTGAGTGGCCTACAGGGCCGGCCCCGTGGCTTAGCGGTTAAGTGCACGTGCTCTGCTGCTGGCGGCCCGGGTTCAGATCCCGGGCGCGCACCGACGCACCGCTTCTCCAGCCATGCTGAGGCCCCGTCCCACATACAGCAACTAGAAGGATGTGCAGCTGTGACATACAACTACCTACTGGGGCTTTAAGGGGAAAAAAATAAATAAAGTCTTTAAAATAGAAAAGAAAAGAAAGTGAGTGGCCTACAGAGACCAACAGAACTAGATACACAGCTAGAGGTTTAATCTTTAAATGGGAGTCAAGGTCAGAGGAGCCATGAACACTGGGAGGGAGCAGTAAACTACCCAACATTACAAATGTAAGAGCAGCTCTCTTTCACTGGCTGTGAAGAAAGAAACAGGTAGTCCCTAGGTGCTATCACCATCTTTGGACCAACCTAAAGAACAAAGTCAACCAGAAGGGTAGATACGAGAATCAAAAGGAAAACATTCTGGAATCCTGACTGAACCAGGTCTAAGTTCTGCTCTACTTGTGGTGGTCTTTTCAATTATGGGAGACAAATCTTTTTGCTTTAAGACAAGGGTCAACAGACTTTTTCTGTAAAGGGCCAGAAAGTAAATATTTTAGGTTTTGTGGGCCATAGTGTTTGTCACAACTACTAAATTCTGTCATTGCTATGAGAAAGCAGCCATAGATGATACATAAATGAACGGGCATTGCTATGTTCCAATAAAGCTTTAAAGGCAGTGGGCCAGATTTGGCCCACAGGAGGTAGTTTGCCATCCCTTGACTTAACCCACTAAATTACAAATTACCTTAAGAGTTGGTGGGTCATCCTGATATCCACTAAAAACAAAACATGGCAGGTACAGGATTTCTATCTAACATAATTTGAAGTAGCATGGACTTTACATGCATGTGAAGGCATGGTCTAAGAAATCAATTTTGGAAACCTGCCTCTCATATTATTTATACCCTTTGCTGAGTAAAGCCTTTTCACCAAAAAAGCATTTAACAACAGCAAAATGACTAGGTAGGAAACAGTATTCAAACCTCCTCAACAGCTTGTTCCCATCATGCTCAGTTCCACCCCCATGCACATCTTTTCCTTAGGGAATCTTTGTTAAATTTTACCTCCAAAACTAACGTATATCCACTCTATCATCAGGATTTGCCCATTCACTATTCCTTTGTAAACAATTTTTTCATCATTCTTTTTTCCCACAGCTCAAGGGTGTCTGTGCCATAGTGCCTGGAAGACCCAGCTACTTCCCCAATCAGACCAAACACTTGAAAGGACAAGCCAGTACTCTGGACTATCCATTCATCCTGTAGGGGTGTCTGGCAAGAACTAGGATGTATAAATTTCTACTGTTGATGTTACACTAGAATCTTCTAGGTCGCATGGATTTATGCCTAAACTTCAAATGCATTAATTACAAATATATAGTTACACTCACTAACGTATCTGAATCTTTGAACCATGCAATGTTTTTCTTTTTAAAATTCATTTCCAGAGTTCTATTCCTTAATTTTGGCCTAATATGCCACAGGATAGGATTAATTACTATAAGGGATTAGTATGTTCTTAGTAATTTTTCAAATTATATTTTACAGTTTTACTACCTATGTCACCATAACAGTATTTTACTGTAAAATTAATTGCCAATAAAAAATTAAAAATATGGAAGTTAAATGTGGAAAAATCCCTGAAAATCTTTCTTGACACTGTTTATATACAGGTGAACAGAATATCCCTTCACACATGATCGGATGCATTTTTAACACACTCATAGACACACACAAGTTTAAGATATGTGATGTTCCTGAACTACATCAAACTGTTACCTTCTTATGCCATTAAGTCTTAACCATCATTTTAATGGATCTCTTGTTGCATATCAAAACGTACTTCAATTCCTATTGATGAATATTTATTGCCACTTTCCAAATTTTAGTAACATCATTGATATGCTACTCAGCTTTTCTATTTGAATCTCCTAATCATAAGTTCCTATTCTATGACTTCCAGATCAAAGGGATTCACAACCTATATTTTGACATATACTGACCAACTTCTCTTTGAAAAGCAATTTTTCAATCCACTGGTAGGAAAAAGCGTGAAAGTCAGTCATGCCCCAATCATCAACGTATTTGATGAAATTATCAAATTCCAACAAATAATTTTTTCCCTTCTTTCTCAGGCTGGGGAGAAGAAGGAGTAATGGGGTAGAGAACGTGCCAAAAGTCATCTACTTGACAAAGCCTCTCCACCTAAGAAGTTTTGATTAAAATAATGCTAAAATCCTTTGAAGATAATCACATCAAAGCTGGATGGAAATGTGGAGAATAAGAAACCAATGATCAAGTCAACATTTACTAAGAAACGTTGGTCATTAGTAACTCTTTCTGATACTTAAACCCCTGCCTTGACATTCTTAAAAAAAAAGTCTTATTATTGCAAGATTAACAATCCATTTTTCAGTCTATACTGTCACAAAAGACAATTGAGTTTATACTGCATAAAATCAATAGAATACTAGACAAAGTCCAAGACGGTAAGACTTAAATTGATGAGAAGCTGACGGGAGGCCAAGAGCTAATCACAACAGAGCAATGCCAAATTAAGACAAGATGACAGATGGCAGTACTGAGTGGTTTTCTGACATTTCAACTCTTTGTCTCCCTGAATTAATTTTATTAAGGCCACATTTAGGTTATCTGCTCTGAATACAAATTTTTATGAAATTGTGGAGGTGATCTCAACACAATTTTCAAATATACATTTTTCCCATTTATTAATTTAACAAATATTTGAGCACCTATCAAGTACTTGGCAATGTTAAGACTATGCAGATTCAGAACAAAAGTCTCTGCAATCATGGAGATTACATTCTAACAGGTATTAATTTTGGCACGCCCATCATACTTCTGCACAAGGCCTGATAAAACTCATTTTCTAAGACCTCTCCCCTGAGTAATACTTAATAAAGGTCAAAGTTCAACCTGAAGCCCTTACTGCACCACTTACAAGAGTTTTCAGCTGAGTGGCCTCCTGACTACTGGGGTATGTTGAGCTACGGCTGAAACAATGACTTTAATGACAAAAATTATTTTTTCTTTTGAACATGATGATTGGAAGAACTCACGTGACACAAGTTTTTTAAAAAATCATTTTATAGAACTTCTTTCCTGTGTGGAGCCTCTGATGTTCTTACCACCCCTATCACTTTTATAGGATTTCTCACCAGCATGGATTCTGTGATGAATTGTAAGATTTGATCTCCAACTGAAGCTCTTACCACATATTTCACACTTGTAAGGTTTCTCTCCCGTGTGAACTCTCTGATGAGACTGTAGCTGTGAAGACCGACTGAAGACTTTCCCACACATGTCACATTTGTATGGTTTCTCTCCAGTGTGGACACTCTGATGAAGTTGAAGGCTTGAGGCCTGACTGAAGTGCTTACCGCACTCCCCACACTTATATGGCTTCTCGCCTGTGTGGACTCTCTGATGCATGTCAAGATTCAAGCTCCACTTGAAGCCCTTTCCACACTCCTCACATTTGTATGGCTTTTCTCCAGTGTGGACTTTTTGATGGGCTTGAAGGTGTGAACTCCGACCAAAGCTCTTCCCACATTCTTCACATTTGAATGGTTTTTCTCCACTGTGGACTCGCTGATGGGCCAGAAGATTTGAGGCCTGCCTGAATACTTTCCCACACTCCTCACAATTATACGGCTTCTCTCCTGTGTGGATTCTACAATGGATTTTAAGATCTGCTCTACGACTGAATCCCTTCCCACACTCTTCACACTTGTATGGTTTCTCTCCGGTATGGATCAGCTGGTGAATCTGAAGTCGTGAACTCTGATTGAAACCCTGCCCACATTCCTCACATTTATAAGGTTTCTCTACACTGTGGGCCTTTTGATGGATTTGAAGATATGAACTCTGACTAAAGCCCTTCCCACATACCTCACATTTATAGGGTTTCTCTCCTGTGTGGACCACCAGATGAACTTGATAATGCGAGTTCCTCCTGAAGCTCTTCCCACACTCATCACATTTGTATGGTTTCTCTCCTGTGTGGACTCGCTGATGTGCTTGCAGATTTGAACTCAGAGTAAAGCCTTTACCACACACATTACATACATATGATTTCTCTCCAGTGTGGACTCCCTGATGGGCCTGAAGACTTGAAGGCCGACTAAAGCCTTTACCACATTCCTCACACTTGTAGGGTTTTTCTCCTGTGTGGACCCTCTGATGAATGTATAGATTTGAGCTACAAATAAAGCCCTTCCCACACTCCTCACATTTGTACGGTTTCTCTCCTGTATGGACTCTCTGATGGGACTGAAGGTGTGAATTCCGACTGAAGCTCTTACCACATGCATCACATTTGAATGGTTTCTCTCCAGTGTGGACTCGTTGATGGTCCTGAAGATGAGAGGCCTGACTGAAGGCCCTCCCACACTCCTCACAATTATAAGGTTTCTCTCCCGTGTGGACTTTGCAATGAACAGTTAGTGCTGATCTACGACTGAAGCCTTTCCCACATTGCTCACATTTGAAAGGTTTCTCTACAGTGTGGACTTTCTGATGAGTTTGCAGATGTGAGCTCTCATTGAATTCCTTAGCACACTCATCACACTTATAGTGTTTCTCTCCCATGTGAACTCTCTGATGAATATGAAGAACTGAGCTATAACGGAAGTCTTTTCCACACTCACTACATGTATGAGACTTCTCTTTTGAGTGTAATTGCTGGTGAAGGTCAAAAGTGGAGAGATCACTGAAGGTTTTTTTACATTCATTACACTGGTAAGGATTTTGTCCTGTGTGAATCATGCTATTTTGATCCAATGTTGAACTCTTCATGCTGTCTTTTCCAAAATCCTTGTGGCTATAAAATTTTTCACTTTTGTGTACTCCATGATGATCGAGGTGACGTGAAATCCAACTGATGGTGATAACATCCTGTTTAGACTGACAGAGTTTATTTTTCATGGAAATTTGCTGATATCTATTCTGATAATTCTGTGACTCAGTCAAAGAAGTTTTCTTCCACATTGGAAACTCTGGATTTCCAGTACCATTGGGACCATCCACTTTATGATTTAGTACACAGTCCTTATCGTCAGAAATTTGAATAGATAGTCCTGCCCCAACCCTGCAGGGGGACTCACCCTGTTTGTGGAACTTAGAACTACTTATCATCAAGTCTTGACATCGAGTTAAGTCATTTGTAATTTGTTGCCAAATTTGACAGCAGGAAAGCTCTTCATGTGATCCTCTGTCTTGAACAGTCCTCAACTCATTTTGATTGTTCTCCCCTATAAGGACAGAGAATTCAGAGATGTGGACAAGTGAAAGCTTGTTCAAAGATTCAAGATTTCACACTTGGGTCACAGTATGAGAGTTTAAGAAATCTCAGGATGGTTCAGCCTACCTTTTTCACAACATATGAAGTTCTCTGGTTTATATACTTACAGAACCAAGAGGTGGTCTATTAAACTCCCAACCACTTAGCATTAATGAAACCTATTTAAAACTAAATTACTGCCATCTGACACACTATTTCAATCATTATTCAGAAACTACATGTCTTTCCCACTACAATACAGTAGCAATAAGGACAAGTATTTTGTAGTGCTCACAGCTTTAACAATGCCTGGCAGTTAGTAGGTGCTCAAGAAATGCATGCAGAGATGAATCCCAGTTTCATTTCTGGGATTCTCTATAACCCTAAATCCCAGTTTAAGTTTGATCCAAGTCAGAGAAGCAAAAGAGCTTTTACAAGTAAGGTATCTGAAATAGGAAAAGGACTGGAAAGTACAGTTTGCTGAGAAGTTGAAAGGCTGCACCAGAGGCAGCAGTACACCAAGGGGGTTAATGCTGAGGACAAAATCTAAGGTGTTAAGAATCAATTGGAGTGAAAAAAGGCATAAAGATCTATGCTCTGGACCCTTCTAAAGGTTCTGTACTGTCTTTCCAATATTTTTCTTTCCCCAAGTAGCTTCAGAGGCTAGGGAAGAATGCTACTTCTTTGAAAACAGTATGGAAAATTTTTGGATATAGAAACATTGGCCTTTAACAAGAATGATTTCCAAAGTGAAGAATGCAGCTTATTAGTGAGCTAAGAAATAAATTCCACAGCTTGTGGCAGATATTTATAAGAAATGGACTAGAAACTATCAGAGAATCATTACAAGCACTAAAGGTGTCATGACATGAAATGTGTTCTGAAGTCATACATACAAATCTACAAACAACATATCTGTCGAGTAATGATGCAAGATCCATTTTTCTTAAGGATGTGGCCTTTGGAAGAAGCAAAGGGGGGCCGGCCCCGTGGCTTAGCGGTTACGTGCGCGCGCTCTGCTGCTGGCGGCCCGGGTTCGGATCCCAGGCGTGCACCGACGCACCGCTTCTCCGGCCATGCTGAGGCTGTGTCCCACATACAGCAACTAGAAGGACGTGCAGCTATGACATACAACTATCTACTGGGGCTTTGGGGGGAAAAATAAATAAATAAAATTAAAAAAAAAAAAAGAAGCAAAGGGGACATAGCTGGGCAAATCTTTTATGGGAAAGGCTAACTCACAAGCTGGCTATTTTCTGAGACTTTTTCTTCCCTGATGTAAGGGGTAAGGAAATAGAATTTGTTTCCTTATATCAGTGAGCTGCCTAAGAAGTGGACATAAGAATCTTCCTTCAAAAAATATTTCCTCCTCAAATGAATATGCTCTGCTACTAATGGCTCAAGGAAAGTCACAGAAAAGCATGTTATTCAATTTGGTTTGCAATGCTACAGGTTCTGTACAGGTTTCTGTACGAGTTGATGAGGGTCAACTTGTACAGAAAGGCAAACACACATGCACACACACACACATATCATGGGCACCTGAGAAATTAGAATTAGGTTAGGAATTCATTTGAAGATAAAAATATTTTGCAATATCCCTTATTCACTTGGATTTATTTACCACCTATTAGCTATTTGTGTGGAAGGCAGATTTCCCTATCCATTAACTCAAAATCCCTCCACTCCTGGAGATTACACTCCACTGAGGAGAGGTGATAAACAGGTGAACAAAAACATACGTGAGGTGATAATCAATGCTTGATACAAAATAAGGCAGGGCACAGAGAGTAAAGAGACGACTGTATTCTCAACAGGGTGATCAGAGGAGACAGGTCTCATTATGTTAAACTGAACGACCTGAAAGAAGCAAAGAGGGGGCCTGAAGGGTTATGGATGAGAGAGCATTCCAGGCAGAGGGAAGAAACTCTCAGGGCTCTGAGGCAGAAGCATCCTTGGCAGATCTGAGAAACAGCAGGGAGGACGACGTAGGTGGAAAAGATGGAGCAAGAGAGAGGACAGGAGATGTATTCAGAGGCAGCAGGAGATAAAGAGCAGACCACAGAAGACTCTGGAAGCCACTTTATGTGGTTTTTATTCTAAGTGAAATAAGCTATACGAGAGTTTTGAACAGAGGACTAACATAATCTGACTTCAAGTTACAGAGTCACTCCGGCTGCCACTTAAGAACAGACCATAGGAGGAGAAGGGTGGGAACCAGTACAAAGACCGTACAGTACAAAGACTGTTGCAACAATCCAGGAGAGAGATTTGGCAATTTGGACCAGGTGACAGCATAAGGGTGGTGAGTAACAAAACAGAGGGACAGTTAACTACAAGAACTCACAACTGCTCAGTTCTTACCTAAATTTCTCTCTATCTGGGTTGCTGTCTTCATCATCCAAAGCCTTGCTTCTCTTTCTATATGCGATATATCTCGTTTGAAGGGTTGATGTCCTGAGAACAGATAAAGTCACAAGTTAAAATGAACACACTAGAGCTAAAATTTATTAGAAATTTGAATTCCAACTGCATATTCAGAATATTGAAAGCAGTGTTTTTAAACCTTTTTTTAATCATGGTCCACTGAAGAAACAGCATTTATTTCATGACCCAGACACATACATAGAAATATGTATTACTAAAACAAAGGTTGAATGGCCTATTTCTAACCAATGTCTATTTTCATTAAATCTGCTCCCATTGGCTCTCACACCACTCACGCAATGGGCCAGAGTTATTGCTGCAATGTGTTCTATTCTTCCTAAGAAGCTCTGATATTTTCTACCCTATTTTATTTCACTAAAAATTGCTCATAGGACTCAATAAATTGATTTTATAATTCACTAATGGTACAAGAGTGAAATCCTAAAAAGAATAGACAAGGTATAACAGCATACTGTCATACGGGCAGTATGAAAAAGACCTAAACATCCCGTTTAGAAAGACCAGAAACATTCTCTTGTATCCCATAGGAATTGGGAAAGTCTGGTCCCCAAACTTAGGGAACATTTCAACAGCCCCAAAGCCTTAAACCCTGAAGTCACAAAGACACTCCCAAGGGAAGCTGTCCTCACCCACTGACAGCAGGTTCCTGAAGTTCTCCAGCATCACATCTTGGTACAGCTGCCTCTGGGTGGAGTCCAGCAGCCCCAGCTCCTCCTCTGTGAAGGCCACAGCCACGTCCTTGAAGGTCACTGCCTCCTACAACAAACACACACAACCTCAATCTTACACTCAGCATCCACTAGAAGACGGGTAGCACCAAGAAGGTGGGGACGATGAGTGGGAGGCTGCTCTGGCTCCTGAGCAATTTGTAGACTTCCCAGCCCTTCTTCCATCCTGCCAATGCCACACACTGATTGTCCTCAGCCACCAAAAGTGTTGCTATGGAAAAGCAAGCTTCGTATATTAACCTGGTGCTCCCAGGGAGCACTATCATAAGTGAACTCCTAGAATTCTAACTGCTGCATCCTGAAGGAAAAAGGTTCTACTTTTTAATTAATATTGCCAATTGCCCCAGGAACATTTACCCCATTCAGTCCCAGCAGTGTTTAATAGCACCTGCCTCCCCACTGAGGTGGGAACCAGGTGAGGAGTAGCATTATACATGGAAATAAACCAAGAGGGCACGTCAGGTCTCTGAATAAAACATTCTCTTTGCTCCTGTCTCTGTCTTTCACTTGAATACAATACTCCGACTCCAGATCCTTGGTTTTCTGTGTGAACTTCAGCAGGTTCCTCATTTATCATAACTCTTTTTCTTTATATTTAAAATGAAGATGAAACCAAGTACCTCCTCACACAATTGCCCTGAGGAGTAAATGCCGTGACAAGTCATTTAGTACTACTAGGTTTTTTTAAACAAAGGTCATGTATACTCTGATTTAAAAAAAAAACACGAAGGGGGCTGGCTCAGTGGCGTAGTGGTTAAGTTCTCGTATTCCACTCTGGTGGCCCGGGGTTTGAGGGTTCAGATCCTGGGCACGGACCCACACACCATTTGTCAAGCCATGCTGTGGTGGCGACCCACGTACAAAATAGAGGAAGATTGGTACAAATGTTAGCCCAGGGCCAGTCTTCCTCAGCAAAAAGACAAAGATTGGCAACAGACATTAGCTCAGGGCCAATCTTCCTCACATACAAAAAAATAAATAAATAAAAATACATGAAGAAAAAACCCAGTAAACAAAATACACACAGGGTATGAGTCAGTCACAGGGAAGAGAGACTCTAGCTCTTGTAATGAGAAAACTTCTAACAATATTTTTTCTGTGTGAAGCAGCAGTTTTGTCCTGATAT